GCAATGCCAAGTCAAACCTGCATAAGATCAGTGGATGCCCCAAATGCACATTCTGGAGGATACTAGTTCATCTTCTCAGACATCACAGAAGATGCTTTAGCCCCTGGCACGTCAATAAGCAAGCGACCCAACACACGGGTAGGGGGAGACTCGTGAGAAGCGAAGCATCGTCGTTCCCCTCTTAAACGTCGGGGCGAGGCCAAGCGGTGTGGAGGCAGGCAAGTCTCGACCTACTTCCTGGTGTTCTGGGTCGGGGGGAATGGGGAGTGGAATGGGTCTGCACCAGGGGTGCGATTACAGACCTGCCAGACGAAGTACTCCGGTTGCACATGCTGGGGCTCAGTAGTTTTGATTACTAGTCGTAGTCGCTGTCGTCGGAGTAGCCGAAGAAGTACCAGTTACGAGTAGCAGAAGCAGCGCAGCAGCAGCAGCAGCAGGAGTAGAAGAAGTAGTAGTAGTAGTAGTAGCAGTAAGTAGTAGCAAAAAGTTGCCAGGCACTGCGTCCCCGGCGAGCGCTTGCGGCTCCCAGGCTGGTCATTTTCCTGGCAGGGACAAACGAGTCAAGAGAGTCAGTGTCATTTCGAAGAGTAAGGTTAGGGTCGCCACAGCATGCAGACTCAGCGCTTCACCGCTCACGCCTTGACAATCGTTCTATATGCTCATGAGAATGCCTGTGCATATCGTGTGCTCAAACTCCCTATACATATGCGCACACACACGTGGAGCTCGGCACCTATCTGAAGCATGTATGTACGACAACATGCAGTGGTAACCCTGCACATCGACATTGATGCACAGCCGTGGATGTTCAGTGCAAGTGGGACTTTGATGTATTGCTGAGCCTGGCCTCTACCTCGGCATCAGTCTCGCTGCCTGCGTCACTCTCGTCCTGCAAGGACAAACCGACAAGGATCAAGATATACCGTTTGGGACAAGCCTTTCACGTTCAAAGTTCTGAAAGTTGGAACTGCATGGGAATGTGGTGGACATGAAAAGAGAGACAGTACACCTTGTCGTGCAAGCTGCAGAGCCCAAGGGCTTGATACGATCGAATCTGCCTTGCGATGTACGGAGCCGCGTGCTGACTGCACCACACAAAGCGATGGGGAGCTTCGTGCCGGAGGTTGTTGGAGCGACAAACGAAGTCATGTACCGAAATCTGCAGAAAGACCTAACGAGGCATGCGGACGTGTTCAAAAGTCTGCAAGCGTAGTGGTGAAGTGCAAGCAGTCTTGTTAAATGTGCTGGCGATCGTAGCTCTTTCTGGTCTACTCACGAGATTCTGCTGATGGTTCCTTGCGAGCGTTGCCGCAGCGCAACGTCAAGCCCCCAGTTGCGGACTTTTCAAGCTCTGAACGGCTTGCATTTCGGACTTGGGGCTGTGGAATATGAGGAGGGCCTGCTCACCTTTTTGGCCCACATGCGTTTGCACAGCAGTGCGCCAGCTCGGACACAGGTGTCAGCGTCGGGTCACTCTGAGCTTCCAGGCGACCGCCGACGCCTTCGGCGTCTGTCCCTATTCCCGTCTTTTCGAGATTTGGCCATCATCAGCGACCTGCCGCAGGCAGCAGCGGGCAGCACTCTGACGGATGCAAAGGAAGTCAGGATTACTGCAATGCGTCTGCTCGGGACCCAACTGCTGCCACGCGTAGAACTGCTCCTTCGACAGCATCGCCGGCCTGAGTCATCTGAGAGCTGCCCGCTCTCAATGCCTCCACTGTCTACCTGCTGAGTACCCGGCATAACCATCCCGTTGGCCTCAGATCTGTTTTTGTTTTTCCAACCACACCATCTGTCATGCTCAGATTGAAAACAGAATCACAATCATACATGCATGTATTCACTTGTGTTTGATCTTTTCACCATTCTGAGAGAGAAGGAGGAAGACAGAGAGTGCACGCACCCACCCACACACACACACTCTTACACTTGATACTCGGTCTACCGGAGGGGGCGAAACGAATCAAACAAGGTGCCAACTTAAGGAGCCCACTGGAAGGCGACAGTTAACCAAATCAAGTCAAGTACCAACTTAGATTAGACAGGAAGGGTTCACCACTCACAAGAGTAAATGTGTTGCGTTGGGAAATTTACGGGAATGGGTTGACCAACAAGAAACAAAAGCCGAAAAAAACTGTCGCTGGGTTCTCTGTCGAATGTTGCTTTATACATCTCAATAAAACTGTATCAGAATCTCAGTTTGAGAGCTCATCAATCTTCTTGCGAATCAAGCTCAATCAATTGCATCTCAAGCTACGGCTTTCCACCTCCGCCGATGACTTGCAGGTTTGTCGTGCTTTGGGCGTGCGGAGCAGAGGTGATGGGGTCATGAAGGGAGGCCATGCCCGACTCACGCTTGATACTCGGTTCGCCGAGACATCACTCAGTGTGTGATATGTGCTCAGATTCACTTCTGAAGCGCACCCGAAAAACGTTGCAGGGAGGTGTTAAATGGCTTGCTGTTTTACGAAGAAATACTCCAACAGTACCTTGAACCTTATACCTGAAAGCCAGCATTTTCGAACCTTAGCCGGTACGGTTTACCATCGGAGGTCGTTGGCCGCAGCTCCGTGTTCTCTTTCAATCTCATGTCTGACTTAAGCCTATTTCCGTCGTAGTTTGGGTTTCCCATCCACGCACACACACACACACACACACACACACACACACACACACACACACACACACACACACACACACACACCCGCGCGCACACACACATGTTCCATTCTGATTGGCTGGGTCGGCCTGGTGCTTACTCATTGGTGTCCGCGGGTTTCGTACTGTGCTTAATCTACTTACACCTGTGCTCTGCTTGCCAATATGCCTGCAGACCCGCGTTTGCTTTCAACAGAGTCTCAGCGTTCGGGGCTTGTCCGTGCTTCCTGCGCCTCATCAAGACGTGGACGCATTCAAGAACAGAAGGACTGGGGTTAAAGCCTCGCAAGTGTCGGACTCAGACGGGCTCTGCAGTTGGATGGGTTGCCTCCAAGTTGAAGGGCCTCGGGCCCAGGCTCAGGACTTGAGCCCAAGTTAAAGGGGCCGGGTAAGATCCGTTGTGCTCTTCTGGAGTACATACTACACCAGAGCACCCGAGGCGTTCGGTCGTGCCAAGAAGCAGGTGGTGCAGGCGGTGTGCTGACGGGGGCCTCTCAAGGAAGACAGCAGCTCCCCATTGCAGTACGTGAAAACGATCTGAGGCTGTGGTCCTCTGCGTGGCTCTTTATAAAAATCAAACTCGACAGTTCTACAAGCACCGGTCGATCCCAAGCCTGGAAACCCTCTGTCAAGGGCCTGCGCTCAGCGGAAGACTCCTTATGAAGGCGGCCACTCATATGGAGAATACCCCAATCTACCTTGAGAGTATATGGTTTGTAATCATCTACATGACTATGATTCTGGAGGGTTTGGATCAACATCTTTAGACATCACAAAACTATATGTGTAAATACTTACGCAAACGCAATCGTTCTCTTGATCCACCATTGCAGATTTCACAATCAAAATCTTCATTTAGAAGAACTGTGCTGGACTGGATCCACTGGAAGAACCGTTCACGTCTGTTTATGGTTCCCAACGTCGCAGCGCCCGGGTCGGACACGTGGTGATCTATGCTTCACCTTAATCACTGCCCCAGTACTTTTCCGAATATTACGACTGCGATGACTTCTGTTGCATTACCTGACGGTTGCGAAAGCGTTTAATTACTGCTAGCAGTTGTACCGGTCCGTTGCGACTCCTTTGTAAATCAATCTCCGATGGCACAGCCTGACGCAGGACTCGCTCCCCTCACCCTCACCCTTCGTGTTGCCACGCTGGCCTGCACTGGCACAGCGGGGACCTCGGGTGAAAGGCTTCTCAGACATTTAGAGCCTCAAAGCTACCCACCAGGCAATTCGGCTTCCAGTCGGGTTCCGCTTTCGGGCAAAAGCTCAGATGAACACAGGATGGCGATGACGATAATGATGACGATGATGACGGTGGTGATGGTGAGGGTGATGAACACAACGATGAAGATGACTACGACAATGGCGCTGACGTTGGTGATGACGAAGACTGATGATGGCTGCAGGCACAATGAGAGTGATGCTGCCATTATTCTGCTAGCTGTTCTGCCGCGACTTGCTTCTCTTACCCTCGTTGGTGTTGGCGTCGCTACCCTCACCTCGCGGCGTGCAGATCCTGAACCCCCAAGCTCTCCAAGCGACAAGCAATGCACCATGAGGCAAGATCAGGATACATCGAATTGCAAAAGTGAGTGACACTTTCGACTTGGGTTTGCGGCTGAGAGTCTAGTCACTCTATTCACTCTATTCCATGGCGCTGAACTCTCGACCCCAATGCCAACACGAAACGAGAAAAGCTGACGGTTTGCAACAAAACATTCTCGACGGCAGCGGTGAAAATGTAATTAAAACCTGCGGTACGAAGGTTCGAAGAAAGTGTATCGTCTCAGTTAGAGATCCTTGGTCCTTGCTGCAGCTGTTCCTGATCGGACCGGGATGCTGTTTCCACCGGCGGCGCCAGGGCCGGCGGCACCGTAGCCGGTGCTGTGGCGGCCGGCGATTGTGCCGCAGCTGTCGATTGGAAGAGCATGAGGGCTGGAAAACGGCAGGTTGTGAATGCATGTGCTCACTTGGATCCTATCTGCTAAGGTCGAAGTGAGACAGAGCAGTGGGAGGCCGACGGGTTACTTCACCTGGCTTTCCCTAACCTTCAACCACCACAAGCCATCATTTTCCCAAAAAGACTTGTTCCTGGCGCCTCGCATAGCTGCCGCCTGTCGTGCGACCTGCAGCTAGGTGTCACACCCCTGCATCCTGCGGTCGATTGCACTCGGTAAAACTCCAAACCTTGATCCTCTGTGATTGAGGCACGCAAGAGGCCGAAGCCGTAAGATGTCGAATGCTACGCTTGTTGCCAAGGTTTGTGCTTTGAGGATGTGCTCGCAAAGACTCTGGGATTCCCATGCTGCAGTACATAAGTGATCCGTTCCCTCCTTAGCCCGCTGCTGTCACGGCTGGAAGCTCGAAGAAATCCAAATTCAGGGAGGCGATGATGTCCGCCAGCCGTGGGTTGGGCAGGGGCCTCACATCGGCTTGCGGCTTGAGATCTCCAAAATCTTGCCGAAAGCTCGACATGCTGAGATCGCAACTTCTGATCTTCCGCTCTTTGCCTGGTCGCATAAGCAGCAGCCGGGGTTTGGGGTTAAGGGGTCGTGGGTTCATGCTCCAGCGAATTACCTTCTTCTGGTGGTACAATTCTGAAGACTGGACCAGGAAACCAAGAATTCTGCTCGACCTTTCGTATGTGTGTGTGTGTGGAGCCCCACATGCTGTCCAGCGGAGAGCAGAAGCCTTGTTGGATTAAACCTCGGAGCTCCCACTCATGGGCCCTGGGTCGGGGGCAAAAACGCGCATTGCCCACCTTTTGCAAAGCGGGCAGATCATCGTCGGCTGCGCCTGCTTTAGGCCATTTTGCGAAGGGGCTCAACGGAGCTGCGCTGTAAGCTTTGGTTGGGAGCCTGTGAACAAGACATAACAAGACCAAAGGAAGTTTAAACCCTAAAGTCATCAGCCTGTAATATTCCTTGAATCCGGCCTCAAAGCAGCGCAGGCACGCAGACCGACCGCAGCAAGGCGCAATGCTCGGGTTCTCCTGATCGAAGGCGGGATCCGGGACGCGGGGGGTGAGGGCCCAGTCTAGCTTTCGCCGGGCTGACAGGCCTTTCGACCCCCATCTTCCCCTGAAAGCCCTGCAGGTCCCAAGCCCTATATGAAGCCCTGAAGCGCAGAAGGCAGCCGTGGAGATCCGGCCAAGGCTCGAAGAGCCCCGTGCACAAGGAGCCTGAGACTGAGACTGACACTTCGGGCCTTTGGGCTCTGCCACCAAAACCTCTGAGACTCAACCAGCTTCTGGGCCACGGGCACAAGTACTCCGGCGGGCAAGGAGCTTTCTCTTCTGGCACCGGCTCCGGCCTCAAGCAGTAGGCGTAAAGAATTTGGGGTGGGCTGGGGCTGGGCCACAGCCAGGGAGTTACCTTCGTTTTGTGCAGGGGGAGTTTGCAGGATGTGTTGGTAAATTGGCTCAGGTGCTTCAACTGGAAGTTTTGAGGTTGAAGAGTGGAAGGCTCATGGGAAGCATCTTTGGGTTTGTCGGGGTAGCAGACACGTCCTGATTCCCTCGAGTCGCTTCCAGAAGCAGCGCTCGTGACCCGACACCGAGCCGCGACAAGAACCTCAACCTGTAGACCCCTGCCAAGGGCCTCTGAGAACACTCAACCCCAAGATCGATCCAATCGGGCTGAACTTGAATGTGCCGAGATCACTGCTTAGGCTGCGGGGCAATCTTGGCTCGCTTCACGCGACTGAGTATGTCAGCTCCTCGCCACTCGCGTCAAAATTATTGGGACGACTGTGCCGCTGCTCATGCACTATGTTCATGTCACTCTGCTCTCTGGATGTTCTCAAAGTCTTCCATAGCATTCTAACCGGCTCAAGAATTCCAAGAGGACTCCATCGGCACAATGAATCACACAAAGAGCCTTCGCCCGGTGCCCAAGCCTCCGTTACCAACACTTCGCCACAAGATGTGTCCTTCTAAGTTGAGGACAGCCGGCTTCTTCTGTGTTTGGATCGGTGTCCGGCGTACCGTGACCTCGCGTGCTGAGCCGAGTTTTTGCTGCTAAGGCTGCAGACAAGGAAGGTTCTCTGGTTGTCGGGATTACTTCCAGGGTGACTTTGGTTGTTCCCGCGACGATCATTGCAAGTAATCAGGGATAGGGGCTTCAACCCTGATCACCAAGAACACAGGGTGGAGTTCAATCGCCGTCGAGATACAATCACATTGGGCCGCAGCAGATGACCATCGCGAGTGTACACCTGAGACTCTCGGTCCCTCACACTACCTCAATAAAGGAGTCGCATGCCCGAATCAGCCAGAGAAAACTGCCTCCCCGGTAGATTCGTTGAGAATCTGCAAATCCACCTGTGCGAGGCAGGGCAGACCAGACGATTTGTACCTGACATCAAGCCAGTGCTCCCGGGATGGCAATGCGCATGCTGATTGCCTTGGGTAGCTTCTGCTTCTCCGCTATCGTGTGCCTCAGGTCGCCGATGGCTATCTCTTTCCCGTAGAACCTGAGAGATGCACTCACTCTGCTTCTCACGTTGTACCCCGTACAGACTGGTCAGAGGACGAGCCTGCAGCCTTCAAGCTCAAGCGCAGGGCCGGGGTCCTGGCTCGATCTTCTCAAGCACTTGGCTCTTGTGCGCGAAACGGTAGTAGACCTGACTCTGGCATAGGGATAGAGCGAGTTTCAAGAACCAAACTCTATGTCTCGGTCACTGAGGCAGGTGGCAGAATTCTTGTCCAGCTTTGACCGCCGCAGCGACATGGCAACCGCTCAAGATGCATTCGAGTGTCTCCTTGAGGTCAGTTTGGGCTGGTTGTCCGGTCATACTCCTTTCTTGGTGCATCAGGGCTACAAGTGGTTGCTCAGGCTGATGTGCCAGGTTTTTCGATCCGAGGAGTGGAGCTGATGGCTGTCTGCAAACTTCCAGCGTCAGAGGCTCAGCGCTCAAGCTTCAGGCTTTGAGATGCTTCCATGCAGAATCTTCCAACCATCGACGTGGCCTGTGTTCAGGGCAACTTCATGGACAGGCATGCAGGATACCCTGTATACGGCTGCAGGTACATCACCACACTGAGGTCGCAGTTTTCTTATCAAGTCAAACCATCAGCGGTCACTTTGAACAGGTCGTCCCGGAAGCCAGTACCCAAAACGTCCGCCCCACTCTATGCCGTCGCAGTGATGCACGCACACCGGGAAGCAGGCTCTCGAATGGACGTTTCGATCAAAGAGGTAAGCTGTTGCAACTACAGACTGACAAGCCCAGCCTAACCCAAACAGTGCAACTGCCTTGGACACGGTCCTCGTCGTCATAGGTCGCCTCGAAAGAGCCCGCCTGAAGGCACGACTTACCAACTTTTACTCTAACTACTTTCAGGCTGGGCGGCCCGTTGCAGACCGTGTTGGACCAGGACTGCGGTTTCAGGGTCTCGCATGGAGGCCAGCAGTGCCAGCACGGAGGTCGGAATGGGTGGACGCGACGCGCGCTTTCCACTTGGGCAAGCGGGCCCGCAAAAGCGCAACGGACGTGTTATGGGGTGGGCTTGCGCAGGCATCCTTGATGAATCCTTGCTCAATGCTGACTCGCGAGAGGCACTCACTCGCGCGAGGCTGCAAGAGTCAAGAGTTTAGACTCACAGCTGTCCTGCGTGCTGCGAAGAATATGTAAGCCTCTGACTTTCGCAGTGCAGGCAACAGCACAACCAGCATGTCTGCGTTGAATTTAACGAGGTTGATTCGGTCGACTTTTGCACTGTCTACATACTGGACGTACGGCGAAAACGCGCTTCTGGCTGCGAATACACGGTAGGATAGAAGCTGGTGCCATCTGGTGCCCTAGAGAAGAGCTTTGGGAATTTCAGTTGCGGAAGCCTGAACTAGAGATAACCTGGAGCCCCATATCATCTTAGCAGGCAGTGTTGCATGCTTCCGTGCCAATGAACCCTCCGGGTGTCCGCACCATCTCACGGAGAAAAGCATAGTAGTCCTCCTCGTCGCGACACCTGTTTGCGCATTTTCATCTCACTTTATGGCGGTTTCGCAAGAAGCGCACCGGCTCCAAGACTGAGACGGAACACCACTCTTCCACTCTCCTGCCCGTAGGCTCCCCTGCTTGGTCAGTTCAGCTACAACTCCATGTTGGACTCTCATCCAGCCATGCAAGTCTGGGTGAATCTGAGCACCGGACGACTTGTCATCGTCGCAACCATCTGAGCTACAGCCATCCAGGCCTCTGCCGAAGCCCGACATGAGAAACCCTGCACAAATAGCTCAATCTGCATAGCGTGGTTGCAAGTGACGGCGTGTGTCTGCGTTGTGTTTTCGCTTGCATGCGTTGTATTTGTGCTGTTGTACACACATCCACGTATGCAGGCGTTGTCAGGTGTCCATCGGCAAGCAGCCAAGCAAGCAAGCAGGCACGCATGCAGGCAGGCATGCCAGACGGCAGGAAGAGCGGCAGGCGTGCGAACATGGATGCTTGCTTGCATGCATTAGCTCTGCCAAGTACACCATCTACAGTATCGCCTGGACTGCTGGGATCCACAGAACAGACTGCCAGTGACTCCTGGATACTCTTAATGCTCAGGGCCATGGCCAGTGATGGCCAGTGGCCCACGCGTCATGCACGCATGTCCGAACGGGGGCTCAGCTGCAGGCTCTCTCCTGGATCTTCTATCTCTTGATCTTGCGGCTGCTTCCTGACAAAACGTGGTCAAAACAGGGGATGTGCATGATCAGCGAAACGATCAGACTCAAGATCCAGCGCCGAGACCCAGCCGTGAGAAGGCCGTTGCAAACAGGCCAGAATTGCGTGTCAGCCGGAGTCTGCATCTCTGCTTTCTCCTCCTGCGGGTGCGATTATCCAAGAATGACCCTTCCAACAGTGCAGTGCAGAGAGTTGAGACTGTTAAGAAGACTCATACAAGAGAGAGGAACAGCAATGCCTTGCGCGTGTTACCGCAGATGCAGCAATGCCGACTGGCTTGCATCTCCGGCTCATATAATACATATGATGCACGTCCCAGTTTATGTCCAACTTCGATCAAATCCCCGGCAACCATTCCTCGCTCGCAGAAAACATCAACCTCCTTGAACTGCGAGTTAGGTCCTTGTACGTGTCGAGCTCTCTCGAAGACGCTCACGACTTTGTTTGATAGATAAGGCCAGGCATCACAGCATCACATAACACATCATCCCCAGACCATTCTTGTAGAGCTGGGTGCAGAATCTCCAATACCCCTGCCGAAGTCTCTCCGCACTGACACACCCGATGCATCCCATGATGTTCCAGCTGTAATTGAGTCAACTTGCGGCGTCCTCTATGACGGGGGCGGTGGTGGGCGACATCCCCTTGACCTCAGGACACCACAGGGGCTTGTCCCTGGTCTAGTCTCTGCAGCCCTCGGCCCCTCCCATCCCTTCCATTATACTTACCTAACACTTTCTTTGCTAGCTTTAAACTGTTATGACTTCTGCTGGTGTCAAAACACGCTTTAGATGAGCTTATCGTCATTCAGACGTTGCTTTTTCCGTTGTATTAACAGGCTGCGGTTTCACTCAAAACAAATCGACACTGCATCAGCTGTACCAGAGGTGAATCCTCAAAAGCCCAACGTTTTTTTGCAGTGCTCTTGCGTTCTGATCCTTTGCGACCATGTTGCTTTGAGTGGTTGAAGACATTAAGATGCGGTTGTAAGTTCGTGCTGGTACGTGGACCCTGATTGCTTGTGCCGTTTCAACGCATGCTTCTACATGCTTGTAGTGACCTTCATTAGATCACCATAACATGGTACTCCGCGTGGTCTACGCAATTGTGATATCATGGGACAGAGATACTACTACACTGCAGGCTGACAACGCTGCACAAGTATGTCGTTGAACTGTCAGCATACAATCTGGTCTGAATAGACTACTCTGTCATGCAGTGACATGCTTGGAGTGTTGAATGCGCTCGCTCTGAAACTACCTTCGAGCTCTCTTGCATTTTCACACCATTGCATCATTTGGTTGGGGTGGCTGCGGCGGTGATGGCGGTGGGGGTGGTGGGAGTGGTGGTGGTGTTCTGAAGTCCGACAAATCCTGCTGTCTCTACTCTGAACATCTCGGGTGCGGGCATTGCGTAGCTGATCATTTGAGGTCATCATCCTGTTGGATAGAGGCTCCTCAGTGATGTCAGCGGGCTCCGAGTACTTGTGAGCCTTGGGCTCCCCTGCCCGGCCTTTAGCCTAGTAATGAACGACGATCCGCCTGCGTGATCGGCATAAGCATACCGTGAAGCTCTGGCTTGTTGGTTCTGCTGTTCAGGAGTTTAGGCTTAGGGTACAGAACTGGGCATCTTGCCGATCTGAATGTCCGCAGACAAGCTCTGAACTAGGCCCAGGCGGCATCACCCGCCGTGTAAGACACCGTCAACTCGAGCTGTAGATCAAGATGCGGAAACTCGCTGTAATCTTGGATTTTTTCCGTATGGATAGCTGCATCCATAACTGCTGAACTCGGCCCTGGCAATTCGCAACCACATGCACAAGGACCCAAACCAATTGGAGCCTTCACACCCCCCAACCCCAAAACAAAGAAATGCAACCACCACAAAGCTTCTGAGCCGTGCGCGGCAGAACAGTGCGTGCTAAGGGGGGCGAGTTTGAGAGGTGACTCTCACAGCGAGCTGGTTGAGCCAGAGGTAGGGCAGCAAGTAAGAGATGTGTTGGACTCGACTACTCTGCATTGCTTTGGATGTGCGCCCGCAGACATGGAGGCTGTCTTGGCTGCAACGGAATCGCAACAGCAACAGGCTTTCACCAGCAGCCGAGTTCTGCATGCTCAGGCAAACTCGCGACGGATGTGGGAAGCTGTTTACGCATGCTACGGCGAGAATGGCACCATGCATGCCTGCCAACTTCCCTGGCATCACGGAGGGTATCAAGTCTCCACCAACGGTATCGGAATTCGCACGGCTGCCTGAAAGCCCGCTTCACACTCTCCAGGCCACCAACAATCCCGCATAAGAAGTCGACAGGGCACAGATGAACCTGTCTGGCTGGATGGGGCGACTGGCTCTGCCTGAGAACTTTCAGACTGTCTTCTTCAGACAGACATCACCGCGACAACGCCTTTGGCACAGTGGGCAAAGCGTACGACAGCATTCACGCAGCAAATCACAACGGATGTGGGAAGCTGTTTACGCATGCTACGGCGAGAATATCACCATGCATGCCTGCCAACTTCCCTGGCACCACGGAGGGTATCAAGTCTCCACCAACGGTATCGGGATTCGCACGGCTGCCTGAAAGCCCGCTTCACAGTCTCCAGGCCACCAGCAATCCCGCATAAGAAGTCGACAGAGCACAGATGAACCTATCTGGCTGGATGGGGCGACTGGCTCTGCCTGAAAACTTTCAGACTGTCTTCTTCAGACAAACATCACCGCGACAACGCCTTTGGCAAAGTGGGCAAAGCGTACGACAGCATTTACGCAGCAAATCACAACGGATGTGGGAAGCTGTTTACGCATGCTACGGCGAGAATAGCACCATGCATGCCTGCCAACTTCCCTGGCATCACGGAGGGTATCAAGTCTCCACCAACGGTATCGGGATTCGCACGGCTGCCTGAAAGCCCGCTTCACAGTCTCCAGGCCACCAGCAATCCCGCATAAGAAGTCGACAGAGCACAGATGAACCTATCTGGCTGGATGGGGCGACTGGCTCTGCATGAAAACTTTCAGACTGTCTTCTTCAGACAGACATCACCGCGACAACGCCTTTGGCACAGTGGGCAAAGCGTACGACGTACGACGGCATTCACGCAGCAAATCACAACGGATGTGGGAAGCTGTTTACGCATGCTACGGCGAGAATAGCACCATGCATGCCTGCCAACTTCCCTGGCATCACGGAGGGTATCAAGTCTCCACCAACGGTGTCGGGATTCGCACGGCTGCCTGAAAGCCCGCTTCACAGTCTCCAGGCCACCAGCAATCCCGCATAAGAAGTCGACGTCTTGGGGCATTGAACAGCAGCAACAAAAGCAGCAGCTTTAGGTCCTTTCGCAAGAGGCTGGCAGCCGAGCTCAGACTAGCTTAGTGCATGTCTGGCAAGTTCTATAGCAGCCCACAGTGTATCTTGGGATCAGGATCTTGCAGTTGACGAAGACGTCTACGCACTCCAGGTGTGATTATGACTAGTTGGCCACCGCTTCGGTTTTTCAACGCAATACGCTGAGGAGGAACTTTGTCCTGGAAAAGCTGCATTAACAAGAGAAGACACCTCTTGCCAGCGGTCACAGCTGTTAAGCCGCACCCAGCTCATCACTCGATGACTGCTTACCTTTTACCGTTTCGTGACTCCTGCAAAGGCCCCAAGCACCAATGCATCTGCTTTACAAAAGAGATACGAGTCAGCAGAACAACACCCACGGTTGTCCAAATTCTGTTGAAAGGAAGGATGGACTGGTTTTGTACCTCACTCCGGACTCTAGAGTATAAACTTTCGACTTCGCAGGTCCTGTATGTTTGGCCTCAAGCATGGTCCCAACTGCGACAGGACATGCGTCACCCCTACGCATAACTTGACTTGCCACTTAATGCCCCAATTGCGAGTAGTCCTGTGCTTGTTCCCGTCCCTGATGGTGGTTGCCTCGCTGCGCGTCATCCTCATCATTGCTACTGTTATTATCACCTCTGGGCCGACCCGCCACTCGAGACTGCTGCATTTCTCGGTGGCGTTCAGAAGCCAAGCCTCTTTGCACGGCACCGCAAGATCTCCTGCACCGGCCAAAGGTTTCCAAGGTGGACACCGGTGAACGGGTAGCTTCTTCCACAACTCCCAAAGCCCCGGAGTAGCCCCAACCCAAAACCCTCGACTTCTAGGCGGGCCTGAGTCGTCAGAAACAAGGATCTCTCAGGCAATTGTGTTTACACGCTTTTTCCCGGATCGAAATGATTTCATCTCAAGTTACCCGACTATATCACTGGGGGATCCCTTCTGTACTTCTTGCCTCGCTCGGATCACACTTTCAGCCTTTAGTAAGGCTCCAAGGCGTAAATCATCACCCTAAACCCCGAAATACACGCAATCCCGAATCCAAGCAGCGTTGCCATGATCTCGATTTGAAGGCAAAGCTGCAGCTTGACTTGCACCCCCACGCACCATCTCTTCATCTCGAGACCAGCCAAGGCACCCAATCGCCCGCAGCGCGAGAACCCCAGACCCGGACTTGCTGAAATTGGTGCGCGGTTGTGGTGACGTGGTATTAGCAGTACTATAAATAGTGGTGGCAGTACTTGTAGTGGTCGTGGTCCTGGTCTTCGCCGTCGTGGTAGCGAAAAGCGGTAGCAGGAGTGGCAACGAGAGTAGTACTAGTAATAGCGGCAGCAGCAGCAGCAGTTGTTGCTGTAGCAGCCTTAGCAGGAGTAGGAGTAGTAGGAGCAGTAAGAGCAGTTAGTAAGAGTAGTGGATTAGTAGTGGTAGCTGTAGTAGTTGTAGTAGTTGTAGTCGTTGTAGTCGTTGTAGTCGTTGTAGTCGTTGTAGTCGTTGTAGTCGTTGTAGTCGTTGTAGTCGTTGTAGTCGTTGTAGTCGTTGTAGCCGATGTAGTCGTTGTAGTCGTTGTTGTTGTTGTAGTAGTTGTTGTTGTAGAAGTAGTAGTGAAGGTAGCAGCAGCAGCAGAGCAGTAGACCAGTAGACCAGTAGAGCAGTAGAGCAGCAGAACAGTAGAGCAGTAGAGCAGTGGCAGTAGAAATAGCGGTCGCGGTAGTGGTAGTGGTAGTAGTAGTAGTAGTAGTAGTAGTAGTAGCAGCCGCAGCAGCAGCAGTAGTAGTAGTAGGAATAGCAGTAGTAGCAGTAGTAGTAGTAGTAGCAGTAGTAGTAGTAGTAGTAGTAGCAGCCGCAGCAGCAGTAGTAGTAGTAGGAGTAGCAGTAGTAGCAGTAGTAGTAGTAGTAGTAGTAGTAGCAGTAGTAGTAGTAGTAGCAGTAGTAGTAGTAGTAGTAGTAGCAGTAGTCGTAGTAGTAGTAGTAGAAGTAGCAGTAGTAGTAGCAGTAGTAGTAGTAGTAGTAGTAGTAGTAGCAGTAGTAGTGGTGGTAGTAGTAGTGGTGGTAGTAGTAGTGGTAGAAGTAGCAGTAGACATCAAGCTCGCACGTCATTCTAAGGTACGTACCCTGTAAAAGTCCAGAGGCGAGCACAGGCGTAATCCCAAGAATTAGCTGAGCTCCCTAACCCAAATTCCCTCTGCACCGCGTCAGTCTCCTGATGAGCCTTCGCCGCAGCTGCAGCATCAGCAAAGCCAACAATGGCCGGAGTTCCCTCGACTCGCTTTGCTTTTTGGTGGGGCATCCCGCTTCAGGGCTTCGGGGTTTTGGGAGAGTAGAAAGAAGCATGCATGCCTCGCAAAATAGACGTACTCTTCTGGAGTAAACGACAGCACTGCTTCACCGATCTTGAGGGTACTCTGTGGAACTCCTGTGCCCCGAATACCTATAGTCTGAATTCTCCGTCCGAGACTGCGGCTTCTACACGTAAGTAGGCTACCATCGCCCCACCGACGGCTGCTGGGTCGAAAGTCGAGGCGGACCAACCAGGGCAGCAGTCCTCGTTGCGAAGCCGACAGCCGCGCCCGCTGCTGCGCGCCACGTTCTCAGAGTCCCCGACCTCGAGGCTCCGGCAAATCTGGAGCTGGGCGGGCATTGAACATCCAGCAGCAATGAGTTTCCCATGAACTCTCAACTACAGTTGCGCTCCGTGCTCGTGGGCTACGTGGCAAGAGGGGCGGCTCGTGGGCTTGGTACGGCGTCCTCGGCTGCCCTAACTGAGCTGACGCTTCGATGGCAACGACGGCAATAACCACGACGACAGCAGCAATAGCATGAACCTACATTCATCAGCATTAATTATACCTATAGGAGCAGTAGCAGCATAAGCAGCACTAGCAGAAACAGCCGAAGCAGCGCATCAGCAACAAGAAATGTCATCGTCATCGCAGGCTTCAGGATAGTCGTGTCGCCGCAAATGGCAAACAAGAGGCTGGAATCCGTAAGAACCAGGGATGACTGTCAACGGCCATCCCCAGAATTAACATGGCCATGGAGGTTGTCGCCATGGCGGTGGTCATCACCAAACTCATGAAAACCCTGACCATCACACTCAATCAGCC